GTTTGCCGAGCTGGGAGGTTTGATAGCAGATGTTTTGTCCCCTTACTAGGTGACATCCTCAGTGCAGTGGAGCCTCCTGTGAAGTGCTGTTGTCCTGTGCCAGTCAAATTTATATGGTCTGGTTTTTGCTGCTTCCGGTAGGTATGAGTTCCGGTTATGCATTGTAATAGTCAGTATATCGGGTCTAATTCAATGTGTTTGTTGATGGAGTCCACAGATGAATGCCAAGCCTCCAAGAATTCCCTGGCTGTCCTCTATTTGGCTTGTCCAATGTTAGTAGTGTTGTCCCATTTGAAAAACACCTCCGGACTGACAGCCAGACTACTCAGACCGCTAGGAATCATGACAGCGCACAAACCGGCAGCCACACTAAGACAGCAACTGACCAGGGTTAAAGACCCAATATATACCTTGGACAGGACGAATGTGGTTTACAAGATACCATGTGGAAACTGCAGAAAACACTACGTGGGACAAACAGGCAGACAACTAGCAACCTGCATCCACGAACACCAACTAGCAACTGAACGACGTGACCAGATGTCTTTGGTTTCAATACACACAGACGAGAAAAACCACACTTTCAAATGGGACAACACTACTAACATTGGACAAGCCAAACAGAGGACAGCCAGGGAATTCTTGGAGGTTTGGCATTCATCTGCGGACTCCATCAACAAACATGTTGAATTATGCCCGATATACCAAGCATTACAACGCACAGGCTGAACCAGCACCTATCGGAAGCAGCAAAAGCCAAACCATTTAAATTTGAACTGGCACAAGACAACAGCGCTTCACAGGAGGCTCCACAGCACTGAGGATGTCACATAGTAAGGGGTCGAAATGTCTGCTATTAAACGTCCCAGCTCAGTGAACTCACCAACATCTATAACCAGCACCCGAGCTACAAATCTTCATTCAAACCCTGAACACAGTCAATGCATCCTTCTCAGAGTCCTTCTTTCTCACAGGGATAAATCTTTGCTCAGTTATTAAATACCTTCTCAGAATTTTTCTACTGCAACTCTACCATCCAACCTTTTAATTTAGTTTCACCATTTATTTTGCCCGCCTCTGCCTTGATATTTTTATAGTTGCCTTTATTTCGGTTTAAAATACTCGTTTGAATCCCACAATTCTTCTTTCAAACTAAAATATTTTTAATCAACCTGCTGAGAGATGTTATCACATACCTCTGAAGCGGGTGGAACTTGAACCTGAGCCTCCTGGCTCGGGGGTAGGGATACTACCACAGCACCACGAGGTCATCTTTCCTTCAAACTGAATGTGAAACTCTATCCTGTTATGATCTTATCACCCAGAGGCTCCTTTAATGAGGCTATTAATTAACCTTGCGCAGGATTTTTATAGAAATGGGAATCTGCCTGACAAATGAACCACTTAAGGCTCCCATTGAGCTCTTTACCAGTTCTCTCCAGAGGCATCGTCTGATCTTTGAGTGGGTGGGGGTTCAGGCTTGTTGCGACATTGGTAACACACCATGAAGGAGGAGGTGGCTCTAGTGCAGGAACTGTGTTCTTCAATATTAGCCCCAAGGCATACAGTAGTCCTCAGGAAGAAAGAAAGAAAAAGCTGAGACAGCTCTCAGTGCCTGCAGAAGGAAAATGCAGTTGGCAGCAGCAAATTGCAGAGGGTCATTGGACAAGAAGGGCACTGTGCTGATCAAGACAACATTGCATGAGCATTGTCCAAAACTGGTAGGAACTGGAAATGCTCCTGCAAGTGGTTACAGCCTCCAGCACGGCCTGAAGGTTTAATCTAAAAACCTGGGGTGAGGGTGGATGCCCGTACTGTCCGTACCCCTGCTGTGTCTCAGCCTCTTGTAATTTCAACAATCAGCACCTACAGCTACAAAAACAGAAGTTGCTGGAAAAGCTCAGCAGGTCTGGCAGCATCTGTGAAGGAGAAAACAGAGTTAACATTTCGGGTCCGGTGAACCTTCCTCAGAACTGATGGTAGCTAGGAAAATGTCGGTTTATGTGCAGAAAATAGGGTGGAGGAAGGGGTTAATGGGTAAACAATAGAGCCCAAAGACAGAGAAGAACAGTTGGACAGACAAAGGAGTGGACAATGATCTGTCTGGGAGGATGCATAGGTGCAAATGGATGCTGTTAGTGGCTAACAATAGGTAGTGTGTAATGGCAGGCTATGTGGTAACAAGGCCTGGTGTGTGGGGTAGGGGGCTGGGACATGGGAGAGTTTAGGGCCTAAAATTATTCAACTCAATATTGAGTCTGGAGGGCTGCAGGGTCCCGAAGTGAAAAATGAGGTGTTGTTCTTCCATCTTGCGCTGAGCTTCGCTGGAATACTGCAGCAAGCCTGAGACAGAGATGTTGGCCAGGGAACAGGGTGGTGTGTTAAAGTGGCAGGCAACTGGAAGCTCAGGGTCTTTTTTGCAGGAGGAACATAGATGTTCTGTGAAGTTGTCAACCGGTCTACCCTTCATTTCCCCAAAGTAGAGGAGACCACATTGTGAGCAGTGATTGTGTGAAGTGCTGCTTCACCTGAAAGGTATGTTGGGCCCTTGGATGCTTGGGGTGGGGTGGGGGTTGGAGTAGAGGAGGTAAATGGGCAGGTGTTACACCTTCAGTGGTTGCAGGAGAAGGTGCTGAGGGGGTGTGTTGGGAGTGAAGGAAGAGTGGACCACGGCGTCCCAGAGGGAATGCGAAAGGCAAACAAGGGAGGGGAGCGGAATATGTGTTTAGTGATGGCATCTCGCTGGAGGTGGCAGAAATAGCAGCTGGTGATCTTCTGGATGTGGATGCTGGTAGGATGGTGGGTCAGGACAAGGGGAACCCTATCGCTGTTGCAGGAGGGAAGGGAGGGGGTCAGGGCAGAAGTGTGGGAGATATCGACAGAGCCCTCAACTGGGTCTGACCCAACAGTGCTGGGGAATCCTCGGTTGAGGAAGAAGGTGGACATTTCGGAGGCTCCCTTGTCAAAGTTGGCCTCATTGAACATATACAACGGAGATGGAGGAACTGAGAGAATGGAATGGAGTGTTTACAGGAAGCAGGGTGTGAAAATGTATAGTTCCAGGTAGCTGTGGGAGTTGGTGGTTTTATAGTAGATATTAGTGGCCGGTCTATCCCCAGAAATGGAAGCACCTACAGCTATTTTTGCTCCTTACCCTCAAATAGGACTTGATCCCAGATTGCTCCTCTTTTCCCCCACATACATAACTCTTGCCCAGTTCAAACACTTGTGCCCAGAAATAACTTTGGGTATACATTTTGCCATCAGACTGGAGTCAGAAGCCAGAAGGCTTCATGATGCCAAGGTCCCAATTAGCATCTGAATTTGAATTCGAAAATTGTACTGTAGTTTCATAAATCAGCCCAACAAGATGGCCCCAAGTTATCAAAAATCTCACGAGAAAACTCTGTCCAGCTCCTGCCACAGCTTTGAATGAATCTATCCTCACTCCTACCAGTTAATTAATGCAGATTTATTAGCGGCTTGTGGGAAATTTTAATGTGCACCTGTTCATGCTGCCTAATTAGTACTGATTCATCAGGAATTTGGTGGGAAGTTTCTACATGTTTCATCTATGAAATGGATGCCTACACAACATGTAAATGTGTTGAGTTTTCCAGCCTTCATTAACAGCTAGTCCACCTGTTTTTTTGGAAACTACAACACTGTGAAGGGCGGAAAGATTTCCTAATTTTCATTAACTGCTCTACAGCTGTAGAATTTGCGATCAGACCAATGAAGCATGCAGTGTGACATCAGCACACAAGCTGGAATAACATGCGCAGGATTTGGTTTCTTCCAAGACTGATAGAACTATGTTGTTTTACACAATCCTTACTGATGAAAATCGCCAGGCTGTTTTAATCTGAAATGAAAAATGTCCAGTCTAAGTGTAACAGCCCAGTTTGGGGTCTCAATGTAACCTATTTGCTGTTGGTGGCAGCTGGTCACGGGTTCAAGCCCCATTACAGATGACAGTCTCTCCCTATATCCAGGAGAATATTGCACAATCAGAAAAAGGCTTGAAACTCGGTGTATCCAGTCCCTTCCGCAAACGCCAAATCCCCTGCTTCAGCAAACTGAGCTGCTGCCCAACAAGGGAGAAATTTCAGGGCTTTGTCGCTCAACAATTTACACAAAAGCTGTGATTTGAAATACTTTGGACCATCAAAGCTTCACTCTTGCTCCTTTCTAAGAGTCTCCTCTCTATTTACCCTGATGTTGGAAAGAATGCAAATGATGAAATTTCAAACAAACCAGTTTTCAAGATGTTGTTTGGGCCCAAAATTGACATAATTCACTTCTATTCCATTAATGAAAACTTTGTTAAAAACTACAATTCATTACAACAAATCATACATATCATGGCTCTATGCAGAATGCAAGTTCATATTGTATGTAATATTCAGTTATAATAGGAATGAGGGGAGTAACTCTGGCAAAGCTGTGATGGTCACATTTAATTGTAGTGTTGGACAATGGATAGTAGCTTACATGACAGTAACACCATTTATTTGTCTGTACAATTTTTAGGGACATTAATATCTAGAGAATAATTTTGTAAGATCATTTCATGATTTCTTTTCTAATTAAATATCATGCTTTCTCTATATATATATATATTTATTTATGAAATCAAGGCAGTTCCTAAATAAGCATAACACATTATAATACAAAATATATACATCAATAATAAATACTGTGATTATTTTTACAAACTTAACTCACTTGTAAAATAGAGATTGCCTGAAGTTAATAGATTAGTGTGGAGGACTTTTATCCTTTGATTTAAATGGTATTGCACTTGTTTAATAAAGAAGTCACTTCCATGTCGAACCAGCTCGAAGCAGCCCCAGTTCCGCACTGCTCAAAGGCTCTTCTGTCGGGCAGCTCCACTCACCCAACTGTACATGGATATGGTTAAAAATCAGCATCCTCAGTGTGTCTGTCTCTGTTCACTCCATTCCATCAACCTCAAGTATGGAGTGGTTACATTTTGCCTGCCTTTTACTGGAGTATTCCTGTATACCAGCAAAAATGTCATGAACAAGTTAGGTCAGAGTCAGAGAGATCCACAGCACAGAAAAAAAACCTTTGACACATTGATTTTGACTGGCCCTGACTCAATCACCTAACAATTCAAATCCAACACTTGGCCCATAGCCTTGTATGCCTTGGCATTGCCAAGTGCACATCTAAATATTTAGCTTTCAGATATTTGAGTAGGAGGAAGAAATATCTCCAAGAAGCACCACTTTTAATCTGGGGCTGTGGTGTTTTTTATTTAAAATAATACAAATGACCGACAAAGTTTTTGTCAGGTTTTACATAGTCATAGCATGTTCACATCAGTCACATAAAAAGACCAGTTTTCTCTTCCAGAGGTACAAAGAGTTTCCTCAGCTGAAACTAGGTTCTAAAATAATAACAAAATATAAGAAGAGGAGCTATATTTACCTGATGGGAATATCACATGAAACTGCTTGTTCACTGGTTTGCACCATTTTGCGTTGATCCAAAGACATCATATAGTCAAGTTTGTCCTGGAGTTCTTTATTCTACAGATTAATTACACCACCAACATATTAGAAAATGGAATACTTATTTTATCCGGACGTTTTCACTAGGATTCAGCAAGAATCCACATGAAATCTATTAAAACAAGACTTTGCTCTAGTGAGTTTGTAAGCCTGTATGACTGTTCACTTGTTTGTGAACTCAACTCGATTTTAATTATGTCGAGTTTGATTCCACCCCTAGGTGACTGTCTGTGTGGAGTTTGCACGTTCTGTCCGTGTCTGCGTGGGTTTCTGCTGGGTGCTCCGGTTTTCTCCCACAGTCCAAAGATGTGCTGGTTGGGTAATTTAGCATGGCCAATCCACCTATAGTGTCCAGGGATGTGCAGACTGGGTGGATTAGCCATGGGAAATGCACTGTTATAGGACTGGGGTTGGGTCTGGGTGGAATGCTCTTCAGAGGGTTGGTGTGGACTCAATAGGCTGAATGGCCATTGTAGGGATTCTATGATGATTCTATGATTCACTCAACACAAAGGCGAAGTGACTAATCCTCCTGGATTGTTCAGGAATTAAGTATTTATCTCTGGGTCACAACTGCTAGCAACCCAGGAGGAACATCAAAGGAGCATTAAAAATGCATTTTAAAAAGTTCTTCGAAGACTTTACTTATTAATTATACAGAAGACCTGAGGTGGATAAAAGCTGTTTAAGTAAAGATCATCCAAATCAGTTAATGAAGAGATTTTATGTTTTCCAAATGGTGTGGCAAGGTGGTAAACCCCAAGTAAGGCCAGGAAAAGAGAATTTATCTTTGAAATATGTTTAGAAATAAACCCGCACCTCAGCTTCCAAAAATGAAATCCTTTCCATCAAGTCTTCGATTGTCACATCTTTTTGTTCAATTTTACTCTTCAGGACTTCTATCTGTACGGTACAGGAAGAAGAAAAAAATCTTTATAACAAAAATGTAAACCTTAATATAGTGTTATCGCTGAGAATGTAATTACCAGTTCATTCTCTTTGTGTAATTTGGGATTCCAATGAATTCTGCCCATTTTTTACAATCAGGAGAAAAGATATTTAAATCAGCAGAGGGCGCTGGTCTTTGAGCTGTCACAGCAAGCCAAACATTCCAATTGATTCATATCATATACCAGCGAGGAATGCTCAAGAGGTGTTCGTGAGCACAATTGCAAAAGTGCTTTATTCATTAAAATAATTGTGCTTGTTCTTAGATTGAATGCCAAAAATGACTTGGAGCAGTGCCAGAAGCCACTGAATACTTACAGGATGATGTAAATGCAATAAGCATAGCCAGACTTTCTCAACCCAATAAAAAAACAGGAACATTAAAAACACAGAAACATGACTCTTACAGCCAGTTGGCAACAATAGTAGTCTCAGGCTAACTAAAGATTCCATTTTCTCCAGATTTACTTGTAAAACAAAATGTGGTGCCGAGGAGAGCCGCAATTTCATAATTAGTTCAAATAATTGATTGTTTTGGCTATTGCATTTTAATGGAGGTTTCCTCATAAAATAAATTATTTATTTTGAAACAAGCAGCGCATAAGTCCTTCTCATTTGATATATTAGTGACCTCAAGCTCCAGTTTGTTTAATATCTAAGCTCTCCCCTCAGCTTTTTGATGATTTTTGATAAAAATAGTGATGCTCTCATTCTGTACAATCCAGACACCATCAATAACACCCAGATTGTCCTAGCACCTTTACTGTTAAAATGGAAAATGTTTTGCAAATAATTTGACAATGGAAAAGATAACAAACATTTCACTCTATCCTTAAACTGTTTTACAACGTTTATTTTTATAGGTTGAGAGTTAATGCATGTTATAGATATATGAGTAAGTGTTTAAAGAAAGCAGTGATGCAGCAATTATTCAAACTGATAAACAGTTGTCCTTTTCTCACCTCTTCAATCATTTGCTTGACTTTTCTCTGTTGACAGTGTACCATGTTGTCCAGGTGCTGAATTCTTTCCCGCAGACTGGCAGCTTCCTCCTCCAGTTTCTGAGACCTGACCCAGGCAAGGGATTAATAGAACAGTGTCAAACGATGCAAGCGATTCCATAAGCCCATAAATCTGTCCACTGGTGAAGCTCTAGCCCTGCTCTGCCCCCACATTCCTTGCTATTACATGGGTGAGTGCAAAATGATTGATTGCCAATAGCAAAACTCAATAGGCAAAAGGCCAATTAAATAATTGGAGCAAGGTGCAACAGCCTTGGAGGGAGGGCATTCTCAGTGGACATGGTCGGATTCATTTGAGGACTGTGTTTTTTGAGAGGGGACAAGATACTACACTATCGAGGGAAAGAGAAACAGTATATTCCCTCTAGAGAGGGGGGAAACACTTTGTTTCCTCAGTAGTAGCTGTGCTTCTTCAAGAGAAAGAAAGGCAATTCTCCCAGAGGATGAAAGACTGTTTTCCTCAAGAGAGAGGCTGTGCTCACTCAAAACACAGAAAGACACAAACTGTGTTCCTTGGAGAGAGAGAAACTGTACATGCTTAATAGAAAGGGATAGAGAGATTGTGTTTGAACGAGAGAGAAAAGGAGAGAACGAGAGAGAAAAGGAGAGAGAGAGAGTGCCAGCGATTATTTTTCTGAGAGAGGGCCTGTGTTCCCTCAAGTGAGATAATTTACGAGCAAGAGACTGTGTTTTAGAGAGGGGAAGCAAACTGAAGAGAGAGAGAGAGACTGTTTCCCCGAGGGATAGTGTTCCCTCAAGAGCAACTGCTTTTCCTTGGAATGGTTTTTATTCCCTTGGGAATATTTCTATTCCTTGAGGAGACATTCCCTGGAATTGATTAGAATCCCTGGAAGTGACAGAAATAGCCAAATTTCTAACACAGCTGGAGTTTTTTAAAATTATTCTAGGAGCTCCAACACACAGTGCCAACATTCTGATACTTTGTTTTATACTTTATTTATCAGGTATCAGGAAATGCTGCTTATCTGCATTTTATCAGCCAACAGGAGCCTGTCTTATCAGGTGTCAAATAAGGCTGTTTGTTACTCTGCTCGATTAACGTCCACTTCAACATTGGAAAAGAACGTTCCCAGTGAATTTATCTTTCCAATTCATGGTGTCTGCCAACTAGTGCCATGTTACAGCCAGTCAAAACCCTATGTTCACTGGGAACTGGGTAGAGATACCATATTAATGGTAATAGCCTCTTCCCTTCCCCACAACCCTGCCCAACCAGCCTGCTTAGCGAGCAGTAAATACTTGGATGGTGCTATCCAGAAAAAAAAACAATGAGTCATCAGAATCTTGTCCCAATATTCTCCCCAGTAAACTCCAATACAAGCAAATAACTGATTGTGCATGACACTGCACTTTAATGGGCATTTTGGCTGCCTTACTTACCTACGCATCAAGAGTGACTGCATTTCCAAAATTGGAAAAGGTAGTGAAGCTCTTTGGAAAGTCTTAATGATGCAATGTGTTCCTTTAAAACAAATTCGCTCTTTCTAGAACTTCTGTTGACAGTAAGGCAAATTCAAATCCACCAACCACAGGCAAAAGTGTTGTCTTTGCCAGGGAACACAGTTTAAGGATACAAGATACTACATTTAGGACTGAGGTGAGGAGAAATTTCTTCACCCACAGAGTGGTGAGCCTGCGGAATTCTCTGTCACTGAAAGTGGTTGAGACCAAAATGTCAAACATTTTCAAGACAGATATAGATATAGTTCTTAAGACTAACAGGATCAAAGGCTATGGGGAGAAAGCAGGAACAGAGAACTCAGTTGGATGATTAGCCATGATCACACTGAATGGCAGAGCACATGTGAAGGGCCAAATGGCCTAATCCTGCTCTTCTTTTCTATGTTCCTATGCCTTTTAACCCAGTGGTCCAAGCCCTCCTGTGTTCTTAAACTTAGCATGGTTATCAATATATCACACTTACTTCATTTTTTAACATTTTGTCCGTATAGAATAACAGGAAGTTGGAACAGTAACAACATCACTGGACTAATAATCTGGAAGCCCAGACTCATATTGTGGGACACAAGTTCAAATCCCATCGTAACATTTGGTGGAAGTTAAATTAATTCTGGGATATAAGGCTCGACTGAGTAAAGGCAACTATCATTGATTTTTGAAAAGAAAATCTGTCATCCTCACCTGGTCAGATCTATATGTGACTCCAGATCCACAGCAATGCAGATGAATCTTAAATGCCCTCAAAAAAAAAAAGGATCCACAAAACCAGTGCAATTTAGAGACGGACAGCCTTGCCAGTGATGCCCACATACCAATGAGAGAGAGTAAGCATCATGTATTAAACAATACTCTCCAGTAGGACTTTTGTCTGGAGTGGCAGCACTTCAGTAGTAATGGATTAGGATTTCAGAACTTGTTTGGAGAATGGAATGTCTAAATAAGTAGTCTTTTAAATGTCAAAACAGATATAATTGTGTTGTGAGACTATACAACAAATTCATGAACGGTATAGCACTAAATATCATTTAAAGATACCTTCTGAGGTTTCCTGAGTCTAGTTCATCCCTTTGTTGGAGCTGCCAGAGCTGTCTCTCCTGTTCTTGTAACTTCTGTTGTAAAAGGTGACGCTCCTGCAACAGAACATCAGTTTAGTTACTCTGTTATAGCCAATTACATTGAAGACAAATAACAGTGTTGTACCACAACAAACGTAGTCATATTTTAATAAAAGCAAATGTAACTGAGCTGCTGAATAGTTAACCCATTTATGTTTAAAAGATTGATGCCATTAATGGTTCCCAATGTTGATACATCTATGGTGTAATGGCATGAGCTAATGTTATTACTGGACAAGTCAGATCCTAAACTGAAATCTGCCCTGATATATCATATTTTGTTTACTCCTTCACAGTACCTAAACAAGAGCCAATTACCTTGTCTATCACACAGAAGGTCTGACTTAGCTGTGGCTTCAATTTCTGGCTTTGAGAATTAGATCGCCTTTGCCTTGAGCTTTCAAACAACTGAGCATAGACTTTCTTAGATTCAAATAACCCCTTTAGGGTTTTAATCAAACACATCTGGCCTGGAACTTTAAAACTAAACACCTTGCACTGAGACAACTTATGTCTTAACAGTTCAAAACTATCTCCCTTCTTTAATAGCCACTTGTTTTGCATTTCTAGCTTCTGCCAAGACTTCTACAAACTTGCCAAAGTGACACTCAAAAGTTTTTCCAAGCATGGGTGTTTCCCCTAAGCAAAAAAAAAAAGTCTGACCCTTTAAACTGAAGGCTGAAAGAACTATTTACTTTGTTTTTACATTAAAGTTCCCTCAATGTAAACAAATTCCCATCAGCTTCCAAGAATGGTCATTAACATTTTTTTAAAGAAATCTTCGTGGCTATAGGAATTATTACAAGTTAATCATTAAACCCCTTCTCTCAGGCAAAATCCCAAATGCCGCTAACTCAGATCCAAACTCCAAAATAAATGACATTAAAATATAGATAAATCCTACAACTTTTATTGCAACAAGCCTGCAAAAATAAAACCGCACTGCTTACAAAACGTGTCCAATTAAGATGGAAATGGGTGAGAATGAGGTGTAGAGTCTACATTAATTATGTGAAAATCCTGTTCCCATTGGACTACAATTGCCTCCATTCTTTCCAACAGGGTCACAGAATAGGGATCAGGAGTGGGAATTATGTCTGACTATTCCCCTTCCATCCAGGATGCTGAAGTCCCTTGATTCAAGGCCACCTCAGCTGAGAACAGGAATCAGATCTGCAACATGACAGGATGGCTCTATTCCACACTGAGCAACAAACTTAACAACTAAAGCCCTCAGCTTCTTATTCAACATAGCAGTGATTTCCACATCAAAATACTGTCATTAAAGGGTGGAACAGATCTGAAACTCTGTTTTCCACAAATGGTAATTAATTGTTAACTTTAAATCTGTTCCTGATAGATCTTCATTAACTAAATGTAATAAAGGGATATAGGGCAAAGGCTCACTTCGAGTTAGGTCCCTGATCTGTGCAATATACTCAAGGAGTTAAATAACCTATTTCTGTTCCTATTTTCCTATACTGCTTATGACTCCACTTAATTTTCTTGTGATAATGATGATGAAATGATCTTAGTCTACATTATTTTAAAATGTGTACTTTCCATCTTGGTTACCAAATAAAACAGCTGCACTTCAATGAAAATGGAAAAAAAAATTGAAGAAAATCTAGTCCCTTTGGTTTAAATATTGTTTACTTTAGAACCTCGAACATCTCATGGAGCAAAAAGGCTTGTATTTACTGAGCAAATTATCTACTGTTGAAAGAAAAGGGCACAAAAGATTTTACACTTTTACTCATGTTTTTTCTTCATTTGCTCTGTGCTGTATAATCTATGACTCATTAATTTCCAGGTTTCTGCTGAATGCCTGTTGCATTTACATAAATGCTATTGATTCCTGTTATACAAAACTAAATTGGAGAAGTTGTATTTAAAGAAGCTCCAAATCTAGTAGTAAACATTGTCAAATCACCTGGAAATACATTTACCATTATTTTGAAAGAACAAAAGAAATACTTGCATTTATATATAACATTCCACAGCCTCAGTGTGTAAAGTTCCTTCAAACCAATGATGAACATACAGGACTAATGCAGGAAATATGGCAACCAATTGGTGCACAGTAACATCCTATAAGCAGCAATGTATGACCAGATCACTTTGTTTCAGTATTTTGATTAAAGGGATAAATATCGCACAGAACTCTGTGATATTCATCAAAACATTGCTATGGGATTGTTAACGGACAGAGCCTTGCTATAAAATAGTAGCTTTGCTGTTTGTTATATTATACTACACAATAATGATCATCAGGACAGTACAGTTTTCCCTGGAGTAGTGATGATTATGAAAAATAGAACAGATTTCCAGTTAAAGGATTTAACATTATGACAACTTTTTAAAAGAATAAATCTTCCTCTGCGGCAGATAGGAGTAGGTCGGAGGGCATGTCATTCTGGGATGCTGGCACTATAAAAATGAGTTATGATAAACTGGCCAGGGTGGGAAAGTGGATATCACAAGGTCCAACAGACATTCTGGAATTTAGTTCAATTCCTCCTCAAATTTTGACAGAAATTTTGAAGAGCTTCCCCGCAACTAATTTAACAGAAGGAGGAGAATGTTCGATATGCCACATCAGTTTCAACCCTCCAAAAATTCAAACATGTTGACTGATTGACTTACTCACTAGGTGTTTCTAGCATATTTTGTTACAGGACAGTTGTAAGGCATGTGAAAAAGTGGGCTCATGAACCAATTTATTTTTTCACTTCATATGTTGTTACATTCTTAGGTGACACTAGGTGCAGTGGTAATATTTATTTTAGATTCTTCCCCTTATATATGTGCTGGAGCAGTCCATATCTTCAGCTATGTATATGTTAGACACTAAACATTTCAGAGAAGTATTTTTCTGTGAACCATACTTCCAAACATTTGAAGCATCCAAGCTTTTTTAGTACATTCTGGATTCAGAGGGTAAACTACAAGGAGATTCACAAACCACGGTAGATAGAGAGAGACTATTTTGACCAGGAGTGTGGGGCACAGTCTCATAAGTAAAAGCGGGCCTTTCAGAATTAGAAATAGGGAAAACTTCTACACACAAAAGGGGAGCATTGGGGTCCTGACTGGATATCAATGAGAGAACATTGCTGCCTCCTCCTGGATGGGCTGTGGTATGGAGTGTCATTCAGGGTTAAGTGATCACCAGTGGGTCTTTCCCAGGACCAAGGACCTCGAGGGGCAGGAATTCTGCCCAGTGTGAGCTATCAGTTAATTAGAGGCTGGCAGCTTTTGTGAATAGCAGCTCATTGGGAAGGTAGGGGCTACTGCCAGGATAGCTTCTATTGGAGGCCCAGGATGACGGATTCACCCAGGCCACAGTTAGGTCATGGTGGGAGGGCTTTTGGAGGCTGGGGTGGGTGTAGGAATTTGGCAACAGGAGCACAAGGTTGGCTTTCAGCAGGCCCCAACTCCCTACCCATTCCTAATGTCATATTCCTTGATCAGGAATCTAATGCTTTTCTTTGAGGGATTCTCTCTGAGAGACGTCTAGTGAGCCACGCAGATTTAATTGATGTACATGCCACACGTCAACAGGTCCAATTGCCATTTAGTTAATCCCAGTGGTGGCAGAAGGTTTCGATTGGTGGTGGGACCACAGGTCCAACCATGGGCCTTTCTGGTCCAATTTAATTCTTGTCAGAGTAAGATGGCAGTCAGTTCAGGTACTGCCTAATGAAATGCCCCTCTGCCCTCATACCCTCTGCGAGAGAGCATGTACAATTCCAGGCCCAGATGATCAAGACATCTACCAAATAGAAACAGATGCAAGATCAACTGTAAATTTTTGACTCGAAGTTGACAGATTATCTTAAGCTATTAAGGGATATGGAACAGAGGCAATATTAGTTCACATAATGGGCATGATCTTGCTGAATGGTGGAATGGATTCAATGGGCTGAGTGGTCTCCTGTTGTTCCTATTAATTCTGTGTCACTGTCATCGATACTAGGAATCCACTTCCTGGTGTAACTGCTATGTGGGGATTTTGTCAAATAAATTCTACCATTTACCTTCAAACAGCTGCCCCTCAGGCTAGAGGAGAATCTTGAGAGACTCTAGAGATCTGGCCCTCGGGTTATCACGAGTTCAGTCCTTCAGTGATCAGATGTTTGTATTTGTTGATTTACAGGCATGCTCTACAACTGTTATTGTTTAATGAAACGTCCACCTGCCCCACCTTCTTACAAGCTTTGTTCTTCCCTTTGGCAACTTGCACCCCCTCAGAAACAAGTATGTGTCAATATTTGCAAAAATTCCTGTGAATTTGTTTATATTTGCAGAAGGTCTGCGCACGTAGATGTTTGAAAATCAGCAGCAGACAATCAAACAGTTTAGTGAAGAGAAGTGCGGTCAGATGTGTGCACATTCTCACCTTATGCCACATAAGTGAAACTAAGTACCCCTTAGCATCCACTTTTTCTACATGCACGCTGTTGAGGAGGATTGCCATTTGCAATCACCAACACTAATTTGGCAATCTCTCAAATATTACAGAAGTGAAATAGTCAGGCTGTTGGGAATCGGAAACAAAACGCAGAAAATGCTGGAAATCCTTAGCTAACCTGGCCGAGCTGGCTGGTCCTAATAAAGGGATTACCAACCTAAAAGGTTAACTGTGCTTCTTTCTCCACAGATCCTGCCTGGGCCTTCGAGCATCGCTAATGTTTCCGGTTAATACTTCATTCCTAAAAGCTAAGGGTTGTCTAGGAAATGTAAAAATGTCAGGCTGAAGAAAAATGATATTCCTCTCTGCATTGGGGTTTAAGGCACTGCACTGGGGCTCCACTTTGTTTCTGTTCCTCCTATCCTGAACTCAGCACTGCTATCTGGCGTCATCAAAAAGGCGTTCCATTTATTGGCACCTACATTCCTCACAGTGAGCAGTAAAGGTCAACAGAAATATAGCGTTGCTTGTAATACCTTCCCCATTCGAGCAATGAATTCGTCCAGTTCTTGAATCCTCTGGTCCCTTTCTGCTATTTTCTGTTCTGCTTCTGCAGCCTTCTTGTTGGCTTCTTCCAGTTCTTGGACAGCCTGGTTTATTCGGGCCTTCATTCAAAACAAAAGATAAACACTAGAACATTATCACTTGGTATTCCCATGATTTCAGATTCCCAGCACACAGCCACAGCGGTCTCACAGGGTAAAACTAGACAAACAAAGCTAAAGCAGCCAGCTCAGCTTACAAAACCTTCTGCAGGTTCTGTTCTCCGCACTTAGAAGCAATTTTGTCAGTGATATTATCACATTAATGTTTAGTGCATTTTTATCCAATTCCACTCCTGACTTACAAAAGGCCATACTTTTAAGACAGAGATAAGGCAGAATTTCTTCTCTCTGAGGGTAGTGAATCTGTGGAATTCTTCATCACAGAGGCTGGGTCATGAAGTATAATCAAGACTGAAATAGACAGTTTTAATCAGTAAGTGATTTAGTGGTTATAGGAACAAGGCAGGAAAGTAGAGTTGAGGATTATCAGATCAGCCACAATCTGATTGAATGGTGGAGGAGACTCAGTGGGCTGAATGGCTTGCTTCTGTTCCTACTTCTTATGGTCTTATGTGCCAGCTAGAGAGAACTCATTGGGCTGAATGGCCTACTTCCACTCCCAATCTTATGGTCTTATGTGCCTGCTAGAAATCTGAAACATAAACAGAAAATGATGGAGATACTCAGCAGGTCTGGCAGCATCTATAGCCAATGGAACACAGTAAACATTTCAGGTCATTGACTTTTCAACACGATTCATTAGTGCAGAAGTTCTAGGGGAACATTACGCCCTGCGTAGGAACGTAGACTTGTTTTCTCTCTCTCTCTTTCCGTCTCTCTCTGCAGATGCTGCAAGACCTGCTGAGAATCTCCATCACTTTCTGGTTTCAGCATTTCCTGTTTTTATTGCTCTGATTTTCTGAGCTAGAGTCAGTTGAATGAATGTACCTTTAAGCAGCTGCAGTATTTTGCTTTGTAGCGGCTTTGTAGGAAGAGTTTTACATTTCAGTAACACTGGGGTAATTTAAAAGCAACAGATAATAGCTTTGTTAAGCATCGGTAAAGATTTCAGCCTCAAGTTGTTTTGAAATTTCACAGGCAGGTGTAGACACTCTCAACCAGAAAGTTTTAACCAATAATTATGGTCCAGATTTTGCGACAGTAATGATGGCCAAAGTGTTTGTGTTAACGGACAATGTTCCTCTGAACCTGACAGTAGTTGCATGAATCAGCACACGTGCAGCTGAACACAGAAATCCAGAAGTTGCACAGTTGAGCCCCCACCCCACCAATAATCGATTAGAAATGACTGAATAGATGAGAATTTCCACTATTATGCTGTCAGTTTCACTGTTAAAACCCATGTAAAAGTTACACCTGATAGATGTAGCTGAGTTTTCAAACACTTAAGTTCATAATTAAACAGCTTTACTGGTATAGATAAAGTTGTTTAATGTCACAATTATACATTCATACAGAATGGAAACAGACCCTTCGGCCCAACTCATCCATGCTAACCAGATTTCCTAAATTGAACTAGTCCCATTTGCCTGTGTTTGGCCCATATCGCTCTAAACCTTTCCCATTCATGTACCTGCCCAAATGTCTTTTAAAATGTTGTAATTTTATCTACTTCCACCACTTCCTTTCACTTGCCAGACATCCCTTTATGTGTAAACAGCCTCGCCCAATCCACTTTTGAAAATTCCTGTTTAATTCCATCAAAATTGACCTTGCCCCAAATTAGAACTTTAACTTGTGGACCAGGCCTATCCTTTTCCATAAATATTTTCAAACTAACAGAATTATGGTCTCTGGTTCCAAAGTGCTACCCCACCAACACCTCAGTCACTTGCCCTGCCTTATTTCCCAGGAGGAGGTCGAGTTTTGTCCATTCTCTAGTGGGGCCATCTACATATTGATGGAGAAATGTTTCCTGAACACACTTAACAAATTGCTCCCTTAACACAATGGCACTCCCAGTCATTGTTTGGAAAGTTAAAATCCCTTATTATTACAAGCCTATTATTCTTACAGCTATCTGCAATCTTCCTACATATTTGCTCCTTAATTTGCCATTGACTGTTGTGAGGCCTATAGGACAATCCTTTCAAAGCGACTAACCCTTTTTTTCTCTCAGTTCCACCCATATAGCTTCACTGGATGATCTCCTAGGAATATACTCTCTAAGTAGCTGTAATGTTAGCCCTAATCAAAGATGTCACTCCCTGTCCTCGCTAGCCCCCCACTTCTATCCTTTTTTTAGCATGTATACCCTGGAACTTTCAGCTGCCAGTCCTGTCCCTCCCTCAGCTATAATTCTCCATTACGATTTTTAAAAATTATGAAAATAAAAAGTTTATGGTATTTTAGCTTCCACCTTCCATAGGCATGTCCTAATAAATTTTACAAACAGTGAAATAAATTAAAATTAGAAATGAAGGAATTCAGCTCCTGGCTTGCCGATTGTGGGAATACTTCAACGTGGTTGGCTGCTCTGGAACATAATCAACCAATTGGCTCATTGAGATAAAAATGCAGGACAAGCTGGGTCACTATCATTATGCATCATCGGAAGAGGAGAGTTGAACATCAATAACCTATTTGCAAAATAGAAACTGGTGAATATGAAATTTAGGGTTTGGACAAAGACATCCTTTCAGGAAATTTGTGGTCTTCTCCCATTCATGTACAGGAAACAAATGGACTGCAGTAGCACCCATTAATCCATACACACCTGAATGGCCTCCATTTCAGCTTGGTGTTGTTTCTTGGCCTCTTTTAGTTTCGCTTCATATTGATCATAGAGCTTCTTGGTCATATCTCGCATTGCACTGGCATTGGCTTCCTGGGAAGATTCTATCTATAATACAGTGACAAGAAATTAATATCAAAATAAAACGTTTAACTCAGCACAAATTACTGCTAGATTTTATTTATTCTGATGTGCTACGTTGGCATTACTGGCAAGAACCGCTGTCCGTTGCTCAACAGATTCAGTCCCTCCAACACAAGCAAACATGAATTGTGTGTAGGGATGTACTACAGGATGCATGTGGGAAGGACAATGCCTGGATTGATGTACTCCTCCCAATACAGCCCACTAGAATATCCTTGTGTATAAACTGAATGGACATCACTATTTAAAAGCGTTACTTAGGAGTCAGCATCCTTTGCTAGGAAAGACTTTATAAAGAAACCTAAGCAACAGAAAAAGGTCAGAATCTGGTCAACATCAGTTACGTACCAAAAGAATCCATGTAGATAAATCTGTTTGAATCTCTGTTTGATATTTTTAGGGTGTTTTCCCATAAACTAATTCATTCCAATTCCTAATTTATCACGAAAGAAAGTGAAATGGACAGATTATTTATTGGCAGTGCTAATTTAAGTTACCAAATCACCATATATATATATCTAATATATCTATATATCTTATATCTAAAGCCCTCCCTCTTACACCAGCTCTGTAGCCACGTATTCAACTGTACTCTCTCTCTGTTCTGAGCCTCACTAGCCCATGGCACGGGTAGTAGTCCTGAGATTACTACTCTGGCAGACCTGCTTTTTAGCTCCCTACCTAACTCCCTGAAGTCTCCTCGCAGGACCTCTTCCTTCTTCCTACCTATGTCATTTGTACCAATGTGGACAATGATTTCTGTCTGTTTTCCTTACCGTTTCAGGATGCCCTGTACCCGCTCTGAGACATCAAAGACCCTGGCACCAGGGAGGCAACACACCATCCTAGAGTTGTTCACGGCCACAGAAACGCCTGTCTGTGCACCTGACTATCGAGTCACCTACTACTATCGTTCGCCTGGATCTTGCCTGGCCCTGTTCTACAGCAGAACCAGTTGTGGTGCCACAGGCCTGGCTGCTGCTTGTACTGTCTCCTGAGAGGCTATTCCCCCCAGCAGTATCCAAAACGGTGTACCTGTTTGAGGGGGAACGTCCAGCTGCTTCTCCAACCGAACCACACGGTCTGTAAGGAGTTGCAGCTTCTCAAAATTCCTGCAGTGGACCAGAACCTACGCACCAGAAACATCTTTAAGAGTAAAGGGTAAATTATGCCAATGTGGGATACAGTGTGCGAAGCCTCACCAACTCGGGAACAGCAGTCTGGCACATCTCCCCAGTTTTCAATCCATTAATTTCAAAATGCAATGACACTTCTTCAACATCTTAAATGAATTACCCAATATTGTATACAGTTCTTCAGCATTAAGTATCAATTCAATGGAGGGTCAAGTCCAATATTCAATCAAGAAAAAAAGGTAGGTTCTGGTCTATTGATAGACTATTTGCTTATTTAATGAGCAGTAATGCCTCTGTGCATTGTTTACCTTTAGTTTGAGAATCTGATTTTCAGCTTGTGCATTCTCAATTTGCTGATCCTTTTCTTTCGTTTGCTCCAGTGATTTGTGATATTTCTTGCGGAGTGATTCCATTTCCTCCCTCCTCTTGTTGGCAACTACTGTCGAATCAAGGAAAGATCTCTGACAAAAACAGAGCACGCAGATCACACACCCAGTCCTAAAACACCTGTCAACCAGGCATTCTCTAACAATCATTTTGACAGTGATTCAAAGATATTGATTAAGGGAATGCAGGCTGTGTTCCTTAAGTTTTAACATACATATTTATGAGTATGAATGACAAAAGCAGGAATCTATACTCAGATTACTGGCTGATTCTGCTTCTCAAGACAATGCACCATGATAATTGTATCTGTGCAGCCGAGTCAACATCCTGGAACTCCCTCCCTAACCGCACTGTGTGTGTGTACCTACAGCATATGGACTGCAATGGTTCAAGGAGGTAGCTCTCTACCACCTTCTCCAGGCCAATAAATGCCGGCCCAGCTAGCGACACCCATATCCCATTTTTTTAAAATGATCCATGTCTGACTGGACCTATATGTGAAAGTTTGTTGACTTGTGGGAGTTCTAATAAAGGCTAAAACTGTAGATTGTGACCAACATGGTGATGATGGTGTGAGAACATCAGGTGAACATTTGTTTCAGAGATAGCAGGAACTGCAGATGCTGCAGAATCTGAGATTACAAGGTGTAGAGCTGGATGAACACAGCAGGCCAATCTTCCAGGACTTCAAAACTGTAGAATCCACATACTCCCCAATCTTCCACTCCTATTGTCTAAACTAAACTAAATCTCATTAAAAGTCTACACTTTTAAAACCAAGTTGCTCTCATTCTGGGGTGGGGAAACGGAATTTTAAGTGCAACCTATGTTTGAAAAAAAAAAGAACAACCCTTTTGGATGTGTTATGATGCACCTTACTGACCATCACCTCCCGAGGTAGGATTTGATCCTTAGCTCTGGCCTAGGGGTAGGAACATCACAACTGTACCACATGAACTTCTAGTTTAGCCTTTTTGTCTCTTGTGACTTTCTACAATAATGAAAACTATTTCAGTTTTGTCTTGTCAATGTTACCTATGTTAAGATACACAATATTGTTTAATTGACTATTTGCTACACTTATAAAGAGAAACTGCTGGGACACTGGATTAGTAGGTAGGAAGCAGAGGTAAGTATTGTTGCACTCTATGAATAAGTCCATTATTAAGAAACGTGAAAATGTTTAGTATCATAATTCAACTTGGGTTTTGGGATCAGAGTAACTTATTTTGTATCTCTCCTAACATTTATTCTCACTGGAAAACTGGGCGAGATGCAAATGGGCTGCCAGCTCTCTTTGATCCATTTACACTATTGCACAAAGTCAGAATCTACCCACTCCATTTCTATCCCCTGCTGCCTCCTGTGGGTTCAAATTTATTCGTAAGAACATGCTTTCAACTTTACATTTAAAGTATGGGGGCTGCCTTTCAAGATACTAGTGGCACCGATGAAATCAAACAGCTTCAACTTCATGTTTCGTGAATTCCTTTGACATGTCACAGGCAAATACATCCCTGGATATCTATTACACTGCACCTATATCCTCAACACCATAATGTGTCATATTGCTGCAGCAATCAAGTCAAGTGATTGATTCATTTCTACCTGCATGTCAATCGTCAGAGCTGTCAGGGAGTTGTTCATCTGGCTGCACTGCTCAAGGGCTGCAGAGTTGCTCCTCACCTCCTTCTGCAGCAATTCCTGCCGTGCCTCGGATGCCTGAAACAGAAAAGATGATACTTTACACTCAGGTTGGACAAGATGTTTGGCAGCTGCTCATCTTCTGCAGATCCCATCTGAAAATCTTTCATCAAAGCAACATTTCAAATCCTGCTATTTAGGAAAGTGAAGAAAACTATGGAAATTGCAATGGATTTAAGAAGATGTGGAAACTGTAAAAATATACCATGGTTGGTTTGGGGTGGGGTAACAAGTCTTAGATAGGATCATGTAGACATTCAGATCTTGGAACCTGTCTCGCTATCCAATTAGATCATGCCTGATCTTTCCCCGATGTCATTCGTTTCATTGCTATCCTTACCTTTTCTAGCAATCATAACACTTTTAGGAAAGGCAACTTTTTTCTACTGTCCTTTGTTTTTTTTTGTTTATTCACGGGATGTGTGCAACTCTAGCAAAACCAGCTTGAAAAGGATACTGGCACATTGGTGGAGTGGGCAGACAGATATCAAATAAAGTTCAATGTGAAGAAGTGTGTGGTGATGCACTGTTACAAAGAACAGAACAAAATACTGTTCTATCCTATGGGTGTGCAGGAGCAGGGAGACCTGGCTGTAAATGTAGATAAGTCATTAAAGAGAGGGAGAGAGCACTGTTAATTAAGCACACTGTATACTAGACTTTATAAGTAGGGGCAAGAGAATACAAGAGGGAGGTGATGATGAACTGATATAAGACACTGGTTGGGCCACAGCTAGAGTTTTGGGTACAGTTCTTGGTGCCACACTGTACAGACGATCTGAATGCATTGTAAAAGTGAGGCAGAAGTTTGCAAGAATGGTTCCAGGGATGAGGCATTTCACTTCTGAGGATGGATTGAAGAAATTGGGACTATTTTCCTGGGAGAGCAGAAGGCTAAGAAGAGATTGAAAAGAAGTTTGCAAAATTACGATGGGTCTTTACAGAACAGATTGGGAGAAATCAGTCCCACTGATAAATGGATCAAGAACCAGGGGACAGTTTTAAATCATTTGGCTGAAGAATCCAAAGTGAGATGAGAAAAAAAAAACTGTTTTACACAGTGTGTAGTTTGCATTAAGAATGCAATGCCTGGAAAATGTGGTGAAGGCAGGTTCAATTGAGACATACAAAAGGACATTAGATGATTATTTAAATAGAAACAACATGCAGGAGATTGGCATACATTAAGGTGCTCAGAGAGTTGATGAAGACACAATGGGCTGAATGGCCTCCTTCAGTACTATAACAATTCTGGAGATTCTATGAGCAGCATTTATGGCCTATCTTTATTTGCCCTTGAGAAGGTGGGGGTGAAGTGTTATATCCATGTGACGTAGGTGATGCTGTTCCATGATTCTGACCCAGCAATGACACGGTGATATAGTTCAAAGGACAGGTCTTGAAATTGATGATGTTCCCATGTCCCTGCTGCCTTTGTCCATTGGAATGGTGGAAACTGCAAGTTTGGGGTAGTTCTGATACAGACTCAGCTGAGAAAACGCTGGCTGATTTCCCTCAAATGATCTAGATCCAATTTTAAGATAATATCAGGAACAAAAACAAAGTTGTTGGAAAAGCTCAGCAGGTCTGGCAGCATCTGTGGAGGAGAAAACAGAGTTAACATTTCGGGTCCGGTGACCCTTCCTCAGAACCCGGACCCGAAACGTTAACTCTGTTTTCTCCTCCACAGATGCTGCCAGACCTGCTGAGCTTTTCCAGCAACTTTGTTTTTGTTCCTGATTTACAGCATCCGCAGTTCTTTTGGTTTTTATTCAAGATAATATCCTTTTATAATGAATCACTTGTAATTCAACACGATTAAAGTGGACAGCCTTTTATTTCGATTTGCTGCTCAATTAGTCCCAGAGTATCAGGATTAGGAGGTTATTGTCTTATGTCTTATGGACCTCTACAGGGGCTCTTGAGGCATTATGTAGTGTCCCTACCACTGGACTAGGAAATCCAGGTTCAAACGCCACCTATCTCCAGAGATGTGTCATAGCATACGTGTAACAAGATGACGAGGGCTCTTTTGGTGCGATGGCAGTGTCCTTACACCTGGACTAAGGAAGTCTGGGTTCAAATCCTACCTGTCTGGGACACATGTCTGAACATGTTGATTTTAAGACTATCAATGAAACTATCCTTCAAGAGTGTGGACTGGGAGTCTCCTTCTATTATTCCTGATTATTCACTGCGGCAAAGGAATCTATGCGCTGGGAATTAAATTCACTCTTTTACGTAAACCTACACTAAAACATTAGGAAAAAAGTCAGGAACTGTTCATTTTCCGAATAGATAGGGCAGCACAGTGATTCAGTGGTTAGCACTGCTGCCTCACAGCATCAGGGACCCAGGTTTCATTCCACTGTTGGATGACTTTCTCCCTGTGTCTGTATGGGTTTTCTCCTACAGTCCAAAGATGTGCAGGTTAGGTGTGATTGGCCATGCTAAATTGTCCATAGTGTCCAGGGATATGCAGGCTAGATGGATTAGCCATGAGAAAAGCAGGGTTTGGGAGGGGTGGGGGGTCCTGGTTGGATGCTCTTCAAGGATCAATGTGGACTTAGTGGGTTGAATGGCCTGCTTCTACACGATAGGGTTCTTTTATTTTATTGTTTTAGTAAGTGTCCGAGGAGATTTAGAATAGAAATACCAGTCAAATCCAGCAGGTGGCGTTCATATCCCATAATGCTGAATACCATTGCGCAAAGGAGCACCCACATGATTCACCGCAATAATTAGTCATTGTATTGCTGAGGCGTGTCCGTGCTGAGGTGTGTACATCACCTCCCTCACATACTTTCATTCTGGCTACTGGTGCAAATCCAAGTGAACATCAACATTACAACCGAGATAACAAGGTGTAGAGCTGGATGAACACAGCAGGCCAAGCAGCATCAGAGGAGCAGGAAGGCTGACGTTT